AGGTAGAAATTGATTTCAGTTGGAAACGATAAGTAGGGGGTTACGACCGATCACTTTAAGATAACAAATATTATTTTGGGGGTCCGACTGTGACTTAAGGTGGGTAGAAACTAGTTTCGGGGGCTTGCACAATTACTTGGGGGTCCAACTCACCTCTGTAAGGGTACAAAAAATATTTTGGGAGCGCGAGCTTTAATTTTGAGTTTCGAACGATTTTTCTGGGGGTACGACTCAACACTAAAGGGGTAGAAAAATTAGTTTTGGTGTCCGACACTTTGTTAAGGGGGGTAGAAGTTGATTTACGTGGTCAAGTTCTGACACTTTGTTAAGGGGGGTAGATAATTTCTTTTCGGCAAGGTCAAGTTTAAAGAATTAGGTACCTAGCTTTGCGGGTTCCCAAAGTTGATTTGCGTGGTCAAGTTCCGACTCTTCGTTAAGGGGGGTAGAAAATTTATTTTCGGCAAGGTAAAGTTTAAAGAATTAAGTACCTAGCTTTGCGAGTTCCCAAACATCGCAGTTTTGAAAAGGAAGCTATAAGACTAAAAAAGAAGTTGGTCAAAAGTTATCTTGCGTGTTTTCGACGAGGTCAAGTTAAAAAAATTAAGTACCTACCTTTGCGTGTTCCGAAACATCGCAGTTTTGAAAAGGAAGTTTTTAGACTTCAAAAGAAGTTGGTCAAAAGTTATCTTCAGTGTTGTCGACACAGGGCCACATGACCATTTGTTAACCCGGGTGGGAATTCAGATTTTCACCGACCCTGTTAAATGTTTGCACTAGCAAAACAGTCCTTTAGGACTGTTAAGCCAACCCTTGTCCAAAGTCTTTGAGGTGGCATTAATAGGCTGTTAAAGATTCTCAATGGCAAGTACGACGTTTATGACTTTAAAGCGATTTTTTTTTACCTGTGAAACACACCTTTCCACTGAGGATGCTTGCAGGACTCTGTTACAATCCGACCAAAAGTCTTGCCCGACTAAATCTTGATAAAAGACTGTAAAGCGTTGTTTCTTGTCTCGTATTTGGACAAACGTTTGTGAAAAACCCTTAAGGTTGCTCTAGTTTGTCGTCAATTRTTTRCGTTGTGAASGAGGACGTTATAGGAYTATAAAACGTTTCTCTTGTGTTGTTAARAACACCTGTCCGTTGGATGGATTGGATGTCAAACCTCAGYCGAAGGTGTAAGACRTGGCTTGTCAAACGAATCTGTTATAGTCYTATAWGTCRAACTTGMTATTGTACCTTTCCACTGAGGATGCTTGCAGGACTCTGTTACATCTCGATCAAAGTCCTTCYAGGCTAAATCCTCGATATAGGACTATAAAGTGATGTTTCTAGTCTGGTAATTTCAGAAACTTTTATGAAAAGWCCTTAAGGTGGTCCTRGTTTGTCGATAATTGTTTGCATMATTAAGGAGGAYGTTATAGAACTATAAACCGTTTCTCTTGTGCTGTTAAAACTACCTGTCCATTGSAGAGATTGGAYGTYGAACCTCAGCCGAAGGTGTAAGACRTGGCTTGTCAAACGAATCYGTTATAGTCCTATAAGTCGAACYTGYGATTTTGGCRAAAGAGGACSAGGACATTATTTATTTGTTTCACCTRTTTCTCCGTAGGTAGAAAACATTAAAAATTAGAACGGCCGGGCAGTTGTGTAATYCTCGTCGAYGCCATTTCWCTTTTTCGAGCAATTATGGAAATGGCGATTCTTTGAGGAAGCAAAAGTGTGAAAGTTTAGACTTTTCTCAACACCTAAAATTCGGGGTGCATCAATGGGTAACAATTTCGGTTTTTCTAGCTCATTTTGTGCTTTGGCCCTTGAAGTGTTTCCCGCAAAACTATTTTTAATCGTTTTCTGCATTCGATTTTGCTTTACCTTGAATCCACCTGCACTAAGAGGGCTCAAAACTCGTGTTTCCCGAAATTTTCAAACGTTCTGTTCAAACCCAGTATTTTGTTTTGTTGGGTTTTCACGAATTCTCTGTTTTAGTCCAAATATGTAAGCCAGGTTCGCCCGTGCGCCACAGTCCGTCGCGGCCCGCACGTCAACTCCGCATACTCAGCACCAACTCGTCGGATCGCACAACTCTCGCACTCACTCACCTTCCAAACTATCTCGTTAGCCGACTCTCACTGATCGCTCTAACCTCGAAATGCTTAGAGAGCCAGCTAATCGTGCTTGGAGAATTTATAGCATGTGTGCTTGTGCGATGTACTCGGGATTACGCCTAAGGAAAGGAAAAGAGGAAGTGTCTACGTTTGCATGTCCAGGATGCGGCGCGGGGGACAGAGCCACTCTCCGCACATCGATCAGGGCATGCAAACGTAGGAACAAATCAGGCCAGGGAAGAAGGTGTGCATGCGCGGGCGAAAACAAGGCGGGAAAAGGGAAGAACATGAAAGACATTAAGAATAAGAACATTACAGTTGCAATCACACCCGCCAAAACTTCACAGTTACACGCAAGATTAAGGTTCGGAAAAGTCAGAGCCCAGATCTTGTCGCGAAAAGGCGTGCGTAAGCAAGAAGCGCTGCACAACAAAATCCAAAAGGTGCCTAAATTCCTAGCTTAAGTTCTAATTGCAAAAGAAAATTTTGAATAGGCAAAAGAAAAACAATTCCGAGAGCCCGTGGGGGCTCGATATCAAATGAAATTTGAAAAACGACATTCCCGCGCGCAGATCATGCCAAAATTYTCAGTGCTCACAGTAGAACAAGAAAGAAGCTATGGTACATTTATTTYTCGAGCGCGCTAAGGCACGGCTACCCAACCGTTGGCACAWGATTTTYCCGACAYCGATCCRACAACTTCYAGCRGAAAACAAAAAAGAAACGAGGGCATCTATGCAACTAGCCCMGCCAACCCTCTCCACGMATCTCACCCGGCTAACCCATCCCGTTCCCCCACATCAAACTTCGTGCAGAAAGTCGCGCGGTTATAGAAAATAGTTCGTCACATATGTGACGCCCAGGGGGTTCAAATCTTGAGCAAGCTCCCGCTTGCTCTCTCATCGGTTGCCGATCGAAGATCCGATGATCAATGCAGAGCTCGCACGTGCCACTTAATGTAAGATCCGAGTGTGGAAGTCATCCAATTGTGGCATACATGGGCTCAATCCAAAACATGGCCCCGGAAAGGTAATCTAATTACGGTTGGGGGGCTGGTGGATAGACCGGGGGAAGAGGAGGCATGAAGCTGTAAATTTTCCTATCGCTAGAGGGAAGTGGGATGTAATAGACAAGCGATGGATGCGGGGGAAGCGAGGGTGCCGACGTTGATGGGGGAGAGAGGCGAGGTAGTCAGGGTAGAGGGTGCAGAGGGTGTGGCGGATGGGAGCGTGGAAATCGTCACATTCTTCACACGCGGGGATCGTGCCCGCAATGATGCAGTAGACCTTTAGATTATTATACTCCTGCCAATCCATGCTAAAGAGGAGGACGTGGAGGGGGAAGAAAGTGACGAGTGAGCAAGTAGTAGCATGCGGGAAGATGGTGACCAGAAGGCAGGTGGCGTAGCGATGACAGAAGAGGGAGAGTGGAAATGGCTGCAACGTATCAGGGAACGGGGGTCGGCCTAGGAGCTGCTGAACGGTGAGAAAGTCACTGGGGCGATGGTATAACGAGCAGGGACGAAACCTGAGCGCCCGCATCTCGACGTAGATGAAGGGTTGTGCTGGAAGCTGCGGAGGATTGGGAGGGTGATTCGCTTCATTGGCGGCGTCGGCTCCTTGTTCCCTCTGCGGCGGCGGCTCCATCCCACTCGTCTTCTTGTCGCGGCAGCTCCGGGTTGAGTGTCGGATTGCCCTGCAGCAGTTGCGACGGCGGCCCTGATTCCATGATCGGTCGTTTGCCCTCTGCGGCCTCTCGCCGTCTCTGGGCCGCGGCTTCCTGTTCCTCCCTGGTTAGCTCGGCCAGTTCATTTGAATCCCTCGACGCGTTTTCTTCTTCGTCTGCCTCCTCCTCCGAACCGGCCTCCTCTAACTCTTCGTCCTTCGATCCTCGATAATCGGGATCAGATTTCCGATCTTCTTCCTCTGCCGATGCTTCTTCTTCGTCGTCCTCCTCCTCTTCTCCACTCGTCTCTCCGGCAGGAGCACGCCGGATGAGCGGGTCCCACGTGGAAAGATCGGTCATGTCGACGTGTAGATACGCACCTGCCGAGGGCATGTAGTAGCTTCCTTCCTCCAACTCCGTACACGCGGGCTCCAACGTGCGAACGAGCGTGGCTGTCCCTGGTTTCTCCTCACAGTGCGAGAGAATCTTCAATGGCAGATAGTTGAGTAGTTGGCTCAAAAACACCAGCAAATCGTCCGTGATGGTCGCCAGGTGGCCGTCGTGCACTTCCCCGAACAGGATCCCCAAAAAATCACCCTCCATGTCCGTTTTCCAAGCTTGGACAAGCAGCAACTATAACTCATCATCGGGGATCTTGTCCTCTTCGCATCTATCAGAGGGCTCCGCCCAGTAGAAGACGACGTGGAGGAGACAAAAACTGAGTACCACGTATGCTTGCCACCACTGCGTCCACTTGACCGCATCCAGAATCGGCACGTCCAATGGTTTGATCGTGAAGGACAGAGATGCTTCCACGACAGATTGCCGAAACGTAGGAACATCAACGGGGAGACTGAAGGCAGAGAGACGGTGACGGTTCATTGAGGCCGAGCGAAGGGACAAAGCACTGCAAGGGCAACCTCTGGCGTAGTGAAGGAGACTCGAAGCTGAAGATCGATGTCGTTCGTCGTTACGACGCGATCTCATGGTCGAGCCAACAGGCGCACCCACTCAGTCGTAAGGCGCGCTGCCCAGTCCCGCAGTTGTTGAAAGACAGCGGTATGCCATGTTGGGTGCAGTGTCATAATGTCGCCTGTAAAGACGACAATGACCAACACGTGGCTCTTGCCGGGTGGGGACAGGCGCAAAAAGGCCGACACCTCAGCCAATACTCGTGCCACCCTAGACTGTCTGAATTGGAACTCCGCTGCCACGTGGATGGCTGCGGTACTGAAGAAGGCCGCAAATCTGAGAAGATCTGGACTCAACCGAGGATGTTGTACTTGTCGGATCACCGAGAAGGCTCCCTCAGGCACCATCAGTCACTGGCTGATCACCTGCTCCGTCGAAAAGCTCATGGCAATGGGGGCAGAGTCGAAGAAGAGGATTCTACAGAGTCATCATCCTCTTCCTGACCGAGGGACGATGTAGATGATGAAGGAGAAGGGGAAGAAGGGAGAGGGCGAAGGTAGGATACGTGTCGAATGATCGGTCGAGCCGATCGACTTCCCGACACCTCCGGTGCCAGCTGCACTGCGTTCACGCCACTAGGTCCGAGCTCGACAACGTGAAATCGCCCGAAGAATCGTGGCGCTAACTTACCCTGGCGAGCACATTTCCTCACCTGCATGGTGTCCCCTAATATGTACCGGGGCGGAGGCCCAACATTCCCATTTCGGGCCTCATAACTCTGAACCTATCTACCGTGGGCCATTTCCGTCATCCGCCGTCTCGTTCGGGCTAATCGGGGGAGGACCATTTCCATCAACTCTAGATGGCGTTGGGCCATGTCCTTAACCGTTGCTCTAGTGGCCCGTCGCGAAAGGGCCGTTTCATCATTTAGGCTCGGAAGGGCTACACAGGCTACACTATTGGTCCGTAGTTGGAAGGGGGTTAGGCTGGTAGACTCGTGAGGCGTTCCCCGATGAATGGTCAGGATGTGATCAGCGATATCAGGCCAAGGCCTGGTGTCTCTAACGGCGATATTTCGTCGCAATGCAGTCCTAATCACTCGGTTCGCATTCTCGACCAATCCGTTCGATTGCGACATATGCGGCGTAGTATTACGAATGGAGACTCCCTGTATGACCAGACTCCTTAGGACCTCCCCTCAGAATTCCGCCCCATTGTCCGTTAAGATCTTTTCTGTATCTTGATGCATTCCGAGGAGACCGTTGACATATCGTGCGATCTTTGCCGTCTGTCTTGTCTTGCAGGGATACGCCTCGATACATTTCGAAAAATGGTCTACAAAACCCAAAAGGATTGAATACTCAGCTATTCGGTCCAGGGGGCACGACAATATCGGTGGTAGCTATGGTAACTCTTTGAAATAGTTATTCAACCACGGTAGGAACTATCGATCTAGAAGGCTGAATCGACGCCTTGTTAGCAGTGCAGACGGAGCAGTTTTGGACGATGAATTTAACATCGTCGCGAATATTGGATCAATATTATTCAATGACATTTTTATCGATCGCTGCCTCCGTTATCTGGACGGCGAAGCGGGCCTCAGTCTCCTCGTGGGCCGACTTAACCTAGTTGTACCACATGAACGGATGAGGCACGGACATCCAAATCCCGCTACCATCCATTTTACACTTTTCTCATCTTCATTCATTCCATCGATAGTCCCACGCCCTCTCATTGGCCCTCCTCCGGTCCTCCTTAGTGAAGTCTCGGAGGGAGTTTCCAACTACCGTAGCTATTAGGATGACATATGTCCAGACTTCATCCCTTCTAAACTGTTGGGTCTTTTCCAACCCTTCAGACGTGGCTTCAAGGAATCGAGCCTCCGTCAAAATTTTATCAGGTCGACACAAGGGGCATAATAAAGGCTTGGCCGTATTTCTGTACTGGACGCAGGAACCGTGAGTTCGAGAGACACAGCGCTGACAATCTACCCATTGGACATATCCTTCCCCACTAGGACGCTGTCGGAGCGAACACCCTTATAAGGGTATTCGCTCATGATTTTGCATTTGACTTAATACCAACGCGGGTTACCATACCAGGGGTAGTCCAGAGTGAACAATAAGAWCTTTTCGGCATGGCGCCATGAAGCGAATTCCACGGCCATTGAGGCCAGGACAACCTATGAAAACATGACGTCACTGCACCAAGTGGCGACTACCAGTATTGGACTTCTAAAAAAATGCCAACTTTTGTCTTCTTCTGCTCGATCTCGAGTATCCGGCACATTGACCTCTGTGTGGTGTGTTACTGGCCTATCCGCTACTTGAGTGTTTTCTGCACCGCAACCTTCGATATCATGGCCGCAGTCAAATACCGATGAAATCAAGTGCTCTTGTGAGCCCTACACACACTAAAGCTGACAAACACTCAGATAGGCACTCAGTCCGGCCACTACACTCAGATTTAGAAAACAGGCTCAGGTCACTAGTTGGGCTGAGCCCTAACACTCTATATCTATCCAGGGTGCCACATATCTACTCGAGATATGAGCTAGCTCAATAGGACTCGGGGCAGACTGTCAAACAGGAGGCATAGGGATCGAATCTGCCTCGGCCTATGAGCTAGCCTTTTTGCTATAACGAAATTCTACTTTTACCCCAACCTTGGGTGGCGGGGGGTCGAACCTGTAACCTTAGGATATAAATTAGTTTAAGGTTAGATTCGTTGGCCAAGTACAGTAGGCCCGACACTTGGTAGGTTAGGACTGTTGCCCATTAGATTTTGTTATTATTATTATTTTTTTATTACGGTGGGTTGTGGTTACGGTATACTGCACATCGTAGGAGATCGGGCTGCGTTGGCAGAGCAGGACACTTCGAGTGTTCGACTAACAACGGCGACGGCGACAGCGGAGCGAGAGGGAAAGCGAGGTAAGTTTCAAAACTAGTTACCTGTTATCAATAGGATGATCTGAAAACAAATGTATCTACTGCTAGAACGAGGGAATATACATGCCCAAACCCCGTGACTACCTCACGCTACTTCCATCTAAACGATGATCTAAATAGGACGAATCCACCGCAAGATTGGGAGAAATGCACTCCTACACATGTGTGTGAGTAAAGACTAGCGAAGGTTCTACGTCCTTTCCATCGAGGGGATGCGCTAGAGCGTATGAATCTACCACTAGGACAGGGATGCATACAAGTTGCATGTGAGTGTAAACGTGAGTGCGTATGTTTGTGCGCGAGTGAGTGAATGTGCGTGCGTAAATGGCGTAGCAATTTGATGATTCCCTCTGGGAAATGAGCAAGATCAGAAGTATCCACCGTTAAAGCACGGGGACATACGTTGCTACTCCTACGCATGGGTGCGCATGTATGCGCGTACGTAGGTGTGTGCATGCATGTGTACGCGTGTGTATGTGTATGAGAGAGAGAAAGAAAGGCGTGCACACGTCTGAATGGCGCCGTGAAGGATCGACTACAGAAGGAACAGGGGAAGAACATCACGATAACGAGGAAAGGGGCACTGGCATTAAGATGAGCGCTAAGAAGAAGAAGAAGGAGAAAAAGAAGAAGAAGGGGGGGAGGAGGAGTTACCTCCCTTACTGGCGATGAAGGCGATGTGCCGGGCATGAGACCTCATACTTGAGTTACGAAGGACTCCTTGTACACGTTTCTAGTCTGCGAGAGACTTGCGAGTCATTCTTTGGTGGTCGATCGTACATTTTCGCAGCACCATGCGGGTCCATGGTTGCTTTTCTTGGAGAGGCTTATTTCACCGCAGCCCGGTCACAGCTGGCGGCTGTCGCGACTGTCGGGGCTTTCTCATGCAGTGGTGCCAGGTTGTGGATCGTTGCGTTCACCCTCGCTCATCGTCTTGTGATGATTGACGCCTGATCACCGATGGCGTCCGTTTGCCCGTTACTTGCAGATGAGGGAGTCGATGGTGTGACTCACCGAATCTCGACTTCAGCACCCTCACTTTGGCTGCATCGGACCGGTAAGATAGTATGTATGCATTATTTTTGCTCTTCATTATTATTATTATTATCGTTGTTATTATTATTTTATTATTATTATTATTATTATTATTATTATTATTATTATTATATTATAGTAATTTGATATTGGCTGCGATTTCGGTGATGTAAGTACGAAGAAATAAACGCGAATACAGGTGCTGGCAGGATAGCAAAACGGGAAAGGAAGAGCAATTAGGTTAGCAAAGATGAGGAACGACTAGTGGTAGTAAGAAATGGCAAGGAGTGAGAGAGCAAGTCGAACATCGTAAGTACGGATGCGGAAGTTAGTAAGGACGAGTGTGGGAAAGCAGGCTCGAGCAGTAGTAGAAGCAAGCGTGAAGGGAAGTGGAAGTCGACACGCGGTTGTGAGAGAAAGCAAACGAAATAACAAGCAATCAGACAAAAACGTAGAGGAAAATGAGAACGTGAACGGGATTTAGTTAGAACGGGGATCGAGGGAAATGAACAGGGGGAAAACGAGCAGGGTGTAGAATGAGTAAAATCGCAAGAAAGGAAAGAGGGATCGAGAAAAGAAAATACAAACAGTCACGAGGAAAAGACAATCGTTCATCCCATGAATACAAGGCATCGTCATTTCCACTATATCTAGTCAAAGCAGTAGTTTATGTGCGTTCCGCTGTGGGGATTGAGAGGTAAGGAACACAACAGGATTATGAGACGAGCATGAAAGATGGGGGATAGGAGGAACG